CTGGTTCTGCTTAACATATTCATAAATGATCTGGAAAAGGGGTTGAGTACTGGAGCTGGTGAGGGGTCTGCGGGTACTCGACCAACTGGGCGACAGTGATCATCACCTGCTGGAATTTACTATCCAGCGCAGGGTGGTGAAAGCAAGCAGCAAGGCAGAGGTCCTCAACTTCAGGAGTGCCGACTGTAAGCTAAGAAGGTTAGTCGGCGAGGCACTGGGGTCTCAGAGCTTCAGTGAGATGGGAGTCCAAGACAGGTGGTTGTTCCTCAAGGAGACTATCCTCCGAGCTCAAAGGCAGTTAGTCCCAATGTGCACCAAGGGGGGCAGGAGTGCTGAGAAGGCCCCATGTCTTGGCAAAGGCATCCAGGGATGCCCGAGGGCAAAAAAGAAGGTGTACAAACAGTAGAAGCAAGGGGCTATCACCAAGGAGGATTACACCTCTGTTGCTCGGGACTGCAGGGAGGCTGTTAGGAAGGCCAAGGCAGAGATGGAGCTAGGGCTAGCGACCAGAATTAAGGATAATAAAAAGTCCTTTTTTAATGCAGAAGTAGTAAGAAGAAGGCACTGGGTAACGTGGGGCCCCTACAGGATAAGCTTGGCAATCTGGCGATTGCAGCAAATGAAAAAGCTGACCTTTTTAATGAATTCTTTGCCTTCATATTCCTGAACAGGGACCAGGACATCTTCCCCCACTAGAATTGTGGATGGACCCAGGGGAGGCACTGTCATACCTAGAGTCAAGGATGACCTAGTTAGGGAACTTTTGGAGGGGCTACATGTTTAAATCAGTAGGTCTAGATGTTCTTCATCCAATGGTGCTGAGGGAATTGGTGGGGGTCATAGCAGGGCCCCTGGCATGGCACTCATGGGGCACTGGCCAGGTACCAGAGGATTGAAAAAAAGCCAGTGTGGTCCCCATTTACAAGAAAGAGAAAAAGGAGGGATCCCGACAATTATAGCCCCGTCAGTCTTACCTTGGTCCTTGGGAAGACCTTTCAGAAAATTATCAAGGAGCACATCTACAAAGGCTCAGCAGGGGAAATAATGCTCAGGGGCAACCAACATAGGTTCACTGGGGGCAGGTCCTGCCTGACTAACCTGGTTTCTTTTTTTTGATCAGGTCACAAAGTCCCTGGATGGGGGTGTTGGGGTAGATGTCATGTTCCTGGACTTTTTCAACATGGTTTCCCACCACATTCTCTTAAAACAAACAAACAAACAAACAAACAAACTTGGTGACTGCAGCATTGATGCTTACACAGTCAGATGGGTGGGCAATTGGTTAAATGGTCGCACCCAGAGAGTGGTGGTGGACTGGGTCGTTTTCGACCTGGAGGGATGTGGGCAGTTGGAGTCCCCCAGGGCTCAGTCCTGGGGCCTGTACTGTTCAACATCTTTATCAGCAATCTGGATGTGGGTGTGGAATGCACGCTGTCCAAATTCACTGATGACACCAAATTGTGGAGTGAGGTGGGCACGCTGGAGGGGAGGAAGAGAATCCAGCTAGATCTAGGCAGGTTACAGAGATGGGCGGATGAGAATAGGATGGAATTCAATGTAGAAAAGTGCAAGGTACTGCATCTAGGGAGAAGGAACCAGCAACATACCTATAGGCTGGGGAACACTCTTCTTGTCAACACAGTGACAGAAAGGGTTCTTGGAGTCATTGTTGATTCCAGGATGAACAGGAGCCTCCAATGCGAGGAAGCGGTCAGTAAGGCTAGCCGCACCTTGTCATGCATCTACAGATGCATCACAAGCAGGTCCAGGGCAGTGATTCTTCCCCTCTATGTGGCATTGGTCAGGTTACAGTTGGAGTACTGAGTGCAGTTCTGGGCACTGCACTTCAAGAGGGATGTGGCTAGCATTGAGAGGGTCCAGAGGAGGGTCACCTGCATGTTCCAGGGGCATCAGGCCAGGCCCTACAAAGAGAGGCTAAAGGGCCTGAACCTATTCGGCCTGAACCTATTCAGCCTCCACAAGAGAAGGCTGAGAGGGGATCTTGCAGCCATTTACAAACTCACCAGCGGGGACCAGCGGAAATTGGGTGAGGCTCTGTTCCCTCAGGCACCACCCGGGGTTACTAGGAATAACAGCCACAAATTGTTAGAGAGAAGGTTCAGGCTGGACATCAGGAGACATTATCTTACAGTTAGGGCTGCCAGGCTCTGGAATGGGCTCCCAAGTGAGGTGGTACTCTCTCCTTCCTTGGGGTCTTCTAGAGGAGACTGAACAGATATTTGGCTGGGGCGATCTGACCCTGGCACTTATTCCTGCCTGGGGCAGGGGGTTGGACCTGATGATCTGTTTAGATCCCTTCCAACCCTAAGCACTATGATCCTATGAGAGGACCTTTGGTCTGTTTAAAGCCCTGGCCCCACCTCTAGGCCAATCAGGGTGCCAGATGGTTCTCTGTAGCCCTGGCCTGCCCCTCATGGCGGGCACAATTGCCCTTTGGCTCCAGCCTCTTTACATTGACCAGTCAAGGAATCAGAGTTAGCCTAGCATCTGCTGCCCTCCGTGGACAACAAGGGTCCCCTTCTGGGCCCCACCATACAGCCCCCTTCCCAGGGCTTGCTCAGAGCCCCCAAAGATCTTAATGGAAGAGCTTCTCTCTCCACTGGGCTCACCTGAGCCCTGGGCCTCACCCGTGCCAGGTCTAGTCAGGGGCTTCCCTGGCCCCTGTGTAGGCCTACAAGCTGGTAGCCCCCATGCCTAGGTTTGGCCTTGCTCTAACTAGGCCCAAGCCTTCTCTCTAGGGCTTGGGATCTCACTGGGCCCCTAGAAAACTTCTACCATCCCCATTGTTCTTCCCTTACCTCCAAGGTTTTCCATGAGCAGCAGCTCAGCTGGGTGGTGTTGTTCCTTCAGCTGAGTGCCTGGATCTAAAATGGCTGCCTCATCAGGGCTGGCCCGCACCTGCTAGGTGCCTGCTCTCTGCCTTAAAGTGGCAGATACCAAAGGTGCTCTGTCACAAATTTCAATATAGATGAGTGCAAACTGATGCATATTGGCAAAAATAACCCAAACTATACCTACACCATGATGGGCTCTAAATTAGGTGTCACCACACAGAAAAGAGACCTGGGACTCATGGGCAGTTTGCTAAAAACATCAGCTTAGTGCTTGGTAGCTATCAAAAAGGCAAACAAAATGTTAAGGATGATTAAAAGAAGAGAAGTGCAAACAAAACAAAGTATCATTATGCCCCTTTATAAATCTGTGGTGTATCCACACCTTGAATGCTGTGCCCAACTTTGGTCCCCACAAATCCCAAAGGATACAGAAAAATGAAGGAAGGTACAGAGAAGGGCATCAAGGATATTTAGTGGTATGGAAGGGCTTTCATATGAGAAGAGACAAAAGAGACTAGGCCTATTCAGTTTAGAAAAGAGCTGCTTAAGGGAGGGACATGATAAGGGTTTACAAAACAATAAATGGTAAAGAGAAACTAAATAGGGATTTATTATTTACAACTTCACAATACAAGAACTAGAGATCATAAAATGAAATTAGAAGGTAGTAAGTTTAAAACTAGCAAAGTTCGTTTTGACACAGTGTGTAATTAAAGTGTGGTATTCATGCCACAAGGCGTTGTGGAAGCTGACAGTTTAACCAGATTCAAAAAGGGATTGGACGAATTCTTGGGTACATCAGTAGCTGTTGAACATGGGATTTAGGATTACAACCTCTGAATCAGAACAGTCTAGACCTTAAATGCTGGAGGCTGTGTGTTGGAGAAGAACAGGGCAAACGCTCCTGGTCATACCCTCTTCATTCTTCCTTTCAGCATCCACTCTCTCAAGATGGACCTATGGTCTGTCCTAATAAATTTCAGTTTTTATGTTCTTAGAACTTTACCTAAAATATATTCCAAGTCTAGGCTTCAAATGCATTTTAAAAACATGTTTCTAACAGGTGTCATCCATGATTTCTAACACAAAGAAGAAATCATTTTAGCTGGAGCTACACACACAACAAGTTTAAACACTGATCTCACAGTTGGATTAAGGCCAGTGTACATGAGGTCTTGTAATACCACATTCCAATGATTCTGACACAAGAAGAATATTTGTGGTAATACATTTTTTGTGTTAAAAATGCTGGATTGGGATTTGTCTGGAAAAATCAAGACTGTAAAGTCATACTCAAGAAGCACCAAGGTGAAGCATTTGAGCTAATAAAAAGTCAGTTTAACTTTTCCCCTGCTGAAAAATCCTTTAATCTAAACTGAAACATGTTTTCAAATTCAATAAAATTCCAATACTTTTATAACTTTAATGACTCAAGATGCTTTATTTCATTTTATTTAGAATTTTTGCCATTTTGTTTTAAGTTTTTCTGCAGAGAGAAGGCAGAGACAGTTCTCCCCCCTTTCTCTTAATTATGCAAAAAAGATTGAGTTGAAATGAGTCAAAACACTTTGTTTGGATATTTCTGACACAAAATGGGAAAATAACTAAACATTTTTAGAATTTTGGACAGTTTAAAATGCATCAACTCTTTTTGTTTTGACATTTCAAAATGAAATACATTTTCAACAAGAAGCTTTCTTGGAATTTCTGTTCTGCCCCAAATATTCAAAACTTAGTTATCCCTGTTCACAACAAGCTCTGTTAAAAATACCAATTACAAAACTGGGCTAGTTAACCTGCGTGGTTGTGCTGTATCTTGCCATATGGAAGATTAGGATTCAGTTTTTACTTGAGTTTTCCCTCCCTCCTTACAGGCAGAAAATAGGCTTGGAAAATGGTCAGAGATAGGGCATTCAGCTGTGTTTGAGCTAATCTCATTTTTTAATTAGATGGCTAAAAATTAATTACGGACATAATATTTACTGAATATGATTTCTCATTCATATAATGTGTGGTATGGTTCTGTTTTCTTCTAATGTACAAATAATATATGTGCATATGCAGATGAAAGTGTGTGTGTGTACACACACGCGCGCACGCATGCTATTAATAAAGATAACAAAGATTCTTTATCTTCTCTTTCAGATCCATCTCATTCTTTTCACCGAGACGAGACTATAGTTATTGCTTTGGCATCAGTATCTGTATTAGCTGTTTTGATTGCTGCTCTCTTCTTTGGATACAGGATGCTTGCAGGTAGTATTTCATGAGCTTTCCCTTTTTTCCATATTGTTCTTTTGACTTTCTCACAGTGATATTTTTTTCTTTCTCCCCCCTATTGCCGTCTTGTGTACATGGTTTTGTGTATAACGTTCCCCACTTTCTTCAGTCAGGCATTTTGGGGTAATTCCAGGTCATTCTACATGCACCAATTTTTATAAGAAATCCTTTGTGTTTGTATTCTGGGATCCATTTTTTTCCCATAAATCCTCAGCTCAATGGATGGGTGAAAGTCTAGTCACAAGCCTTCTGTGAGGACAGTTGCAATGGCATTTTGTGCACGTATGAAGGAATAGTTGTGCAGCAAGTAATCATTGCTTTCCTAACCATGTAGTCTTCTCACCTGAATTTTATTAATGCTGGAGAGGAGGATTTGCAAGATTACTCCTGAACTGGCATATTCTTCACCACAATATATAGTGTTGCTAACAACATAGCTCTTTAAACTTTTGAATTTGTAATATGGCCTGATACCTTAACTATCAGAACTTGTGATTCCTATTATCTATAGGGGACCGTAAGCAAGGTCTGCACAGTATGAACATGATGGAAGCAGCAGCATCAGAACCTTCACTTGACCTGGATAATCTCAAATTGTTGGAGGTAGGTTTGACACTCGGGATTTCTGTATCTTTTCCTTATATGCTGACTGGAGATCACATCACTTTTCAGACATTGTGGGTGTAGCTACATGTGCGCTCTGTTGTGGAGTAGACTAATAAGCTCCTTGATAAAGCATTATAGTCTACATGTATGCCAGTATTAGGACACAGTAAACTAATGAACTCCACCGTAGGATAGTACTGTCAGGGATGGTACTATCTTATGGCAGAATACTTTATTGTGCTGAAACGCATGTGTAGATGCTACCGTGGGTGTACATTATGCCCATCCAGCTCAACCAGCTGGGGATCTGCTCTACCCCAGCTCAAATTGCTGCTGTCCTGGGTGCATGTGTAGACACTACACCTGGGAGCAGTTAACTCCAGCTTGAACTGCTCCAGAGTTTATTGCATCGCATTAATTGCACATGTAGATGCACCCAACATATATTTATTTTTCCATTTTTGCATTGTTATAGTTATGTTTCTTTTTCACTGGAATTAAAAACCATAAACAGAACAACTAAAAGGTGTTCTTACTTGTTCTATAATACTAGCAACCAAAGATATTATTTTGTCTTCTCTTTGCATGCTGGTTTCATTGATTAACCAAAGCATGCTCAGGTGTGAGAAGAGCACTATTTTGTATTACGTTTCGATGTCACATAAAAGAGGTCAACATAGATGACCATGTTAAAAGTGTTTAAAATATCCTACCGTAATAATTTGAAATGGTATAGTAATACTGCAGATTTTCTATGGATTAAATGGTATTCTTTAATAATAGTGTATGCATGTATTCTTAGCCTCCTCAACATCATCTTTCACAGTGGGGCATTCCATATCTCCATGGCAACTAGAGGCAAACTAGAACTCATCCTTGGAAGGATCTCTGCAGAACGCCCTACCTCCAAGCAGCACAGTGGCAGACTTCAAGTCTCCCTTTGCAGCAAAGCTTTCACTGGATTTTTACAAGCTTTTAACTAAATGCATCGCATTCGCTTCAGTGGCACTGATTGTTTTTCTCAAAATGACTAAACTTACAAATGAGTAGGGGGTGATTTTGGGGAAGATGTGAAGGACATCTACATTGTTCCCTATGTTGCCCTTCAAAAATGGCAGACAGCAGGCTGCAGGAGCTCTACTCTGAGAAGAGTGTAAGCAAAGCCTGTGCTGAGATATGCAGCAGGTGTCAGGTCAACTGATTCTTGCTGGCATTTGAGTGAAGTGAACTGTTGAGAAAGTTCATAGATTTCATAGAGAAGTTGGGCTGGAAGGGACCTCCACTGGTCATCTAGTCCAACATGCTGCCTGAGTTAGGATCAGTTGCAAAGTATATCCATTCCTACAAGCTGTTTTTAGCTGTGAGGTCACAGTCACCATGAAATATGCTGGTTTCTATAAACCGTTTGTCATCAGTGGCTTTGGCTCAGTCCTTATTCTGTACACTCAGCCCACACTTAGCCTGGACTCAATGACCGGGGTGACATGATTCAGATTCCGTTCCTTGAGTGATGGATTGACTTTCTTTTCCTCTTCAGTCTCTGAGGATTATACAGGAGAGGGCATTAAGCAGCCATTATCTTCCTCCCAAGAGCTTGCATGCAGATTGTCCTTTCATTCTCCCTCCATAATTGACTCTTCCTCCTGCCTGGGTCCCTCTCCTTTTCTCTCAGGAGTTTGGCCCACAGATGAAGAATGATATTACTCAAAATCAGACTTAAAAGGGCAGTACAACTTTTTAAAACCTTTCACTCAGAAGTCTCATTTTTAGATCATCTAATTTGAAAAGGAAATCTTTAAAGGTGAGTCTTTAAGTGAAACCTTGGAGTCTCAGCTAAGCTTCCCAAAATTGAGTGCAACTGGGATCTACCTTCACATGTACTTATATTTCCAGAAAATGAAAAAAGATCTGCAAATTGGAAGAATCTTGTGATTAAGGTGGAGTGGCAATTCCTTAACAAGGCCTTTTTTAGCCGAGAACTAAAAAGATCTTCATTTTTCCTCATTAGGAGAGAGAAGCCTTTACTTCATTAGTAAAGACTATCACCTGAGGGAGTATTCCTGTATAGCCCTCAAGAGTATAAGGTATCACTCACCTAACTTGCATAAGCAGCCACAGTCCTAAGGATATTGGCTTGTGTCTGCTTGTTACGTGGCTTGTATACTCAATTGAAAGTCCAGTCTCAACGTGCAGGAGAAAAATCTATTTTGGTGATCTCCAACCTTTTTAAGTAGGAGATCACCTTTGGCATTTAAAAGCAACCCAAGATCTACTGTGTGCTGCCACCCTCCCTCCCCCTCCACCGAGCAGATAAGTCTGTGGGGAGGGGGAAGGAGAGGCAGATCAAGGCAGAGGGAGAATTACATTATTTGGTGGCATGCCTCCCCAGCAGGGAAGTCCCACCCGGCCAGGACCGCACTCAACTTATCCATGCTTCTGCCTCTGCAGCACTGCCCCCCACCGTGGGGGCCTTGATCTAGCCCCTACCCCTTCCCTCCTCCACGGGCTGACCTGCTGAACTGGGGTGTACGCATGCATGCACATGGGCACTCAACCCCCCCACCCCAGCCTCAGATCGACTCCAAGAGGCTCCAAGATCTACCGGTGGGTCAAGATCCACTGGTTGGTGGCCACTGATCTATTTTAAACTAGATTTCTCTAGAAGCTTTTTCAGAACTTGATGTTTCACCTGACACTTGCTATGCATTCAGGACTCCCAAAAGTGTATCACTGCGCAATTGGAAATCTATTTGAAGAAGTGGGATATCTGATATCTATCTAAATATTTTGTAAGTTCTTTGTGGAGCATAGACACAAAACAGGCATTGAAACAGTGGACCAGCAGATAACTGGCTCCTTCTGGTCAGAGAGTCTTCATAGTCATGTTCACTCTCTCATGTCCAGCAGATGATTCTTCAAAAACATGTATATAGCTAGTAAGAAGGCAAACAGCCTTCAGCATTATCTAAGGTATAGCCCTGTCCATGTCCTAGTCCAAGCCTTTTCCCTTTTTTATTAGGATTCTACAACAAGAAGCAAAATTTGTGTTGCCTGGCTCAGCAAGACACACTTGGGATGGAAACAGATGTTGCCTTTTGTCACCTTTGTGCCACTATAAAAGTTTTTATGGTGGCACAAAGGCCAAGCAAATGGACATCCATATCCCTTGTTGTGCAACAGATGCCTAAAATCTGTGGCTGCAACAAAAGTAGTATTAATTTGTGCCACTTAATTATGGCAGTTGTGGTGAGAAAGTGCAGGCAGCCCAGAGCTTCCAACACTCTCCAGCTGTCCTTGGCAGGTGCTCTGACCCTGCTCACCCCAGGAGTGCCTGCCTGGCTTTTCCTGCTTACAGAGATGTACCTCAGTGATTCCTGAGGGTGCGTCTCTATAAGTGGGGAAAGTCAAGCAGGCATTCCCAGGGCTTCAGGGGCCCAGTCCTGTGTGGGAATTCCTAGGGCACATTAGATCAGGCCCTTCAAGCCCTGGGAGGACATGTTGCCATTTTCCTGCAGCATTAACAGCTGCAACAATGGGCAGTGTGTGTTTTCACTTAATGAAACAGATCAGCTGTGCTGGACATATCCCAACACAGCTGACCTAGTTCATTGGGCAATGTGTATTTGTAGCCTTAGAGCCAAGCAAGTGCAATCCAAGTCAGCCTTACAGTGCATCAAAAGGAGGGTGGAAGCCTATAAATGATCTTGCTAGCCTCCAAGTCAGTTTGGAAAAACAAAAGTGTATATGGAGATGCACCTTATAGACAAACTGAATCAGATGCATAAGCTTTTGTGTGAAAGCACTGACTTCAGCAGTTACACTTAAAGCCTCAGGTGCAGTTGCTCTTGTTATTACATACCCTGAAAAGAAAAGTGATTTTGTAAGCAGCAAGGTCATAAATATCTTCTAAGTTGTGTAAGGCTACTACCAAGTCTTCCTTGCTTTCTCAAATATCATGGAGCTGGTTTCTTCACCCCTGCAAATGAAACATTTGGTAGAAGGATATTATAAAACAGGAAAAGCATGTGCCAGTAACCTTTAAGATCATTTTCAAGGGGGGTGGTATATTGAATTCACTCTCTTGCTCTTGAAATGATTTGGTACTTTTTAGCTGCCACAGTGAATAGTCTGACATGGAAGAGACCAAGAAAGAAAGTTCTCTCTTACATGTGAATTTTCTTTCTAGAAGCCTTCATGCCAGTCAGGCTGCTGCCCTTGTCAGGATTACATTAGGTGTTTTTAGCTATTACCTGCTCATTATATAGTTAGAAAGGGAAGAGGAAGTTCCTCCAGAAAATCCTGGGATTTTGTTGTTAGGGTTGACTGCCAATGGTTGAAGTTAAATACTCTTACATTTTTATATAGTTGGCTCCCAAAGCTGGAAAATGCTATTTTTCTGAAGTGCTCTTCCTGAGGGTGGTAGAAAAGCCAGGCTTAGAGCAAAAAACTAGTTAGCCTCCAGTAGCTGTGGAGACAGGAAACACCCCACTGTGAAAACTGACATGATGGGTCCTAAAATGAAATGGTAAGAAAGAGTTTTCCCTTTCTATTAAAAGCTATTTAAACTATAATGGATTTTCTGAGTAACAGCTTTAAATTAGGGTAGATTTGAAACCTAAGACTGATGATATTAAGCCTTTTAAGACTGAGATGCAAACTACTAAATGGCACGGAAAATTGTGAGAACATTCGTCACATATCCATTTTATTTTTTGTTTTTGAAATGAAGATTGCTTCCTGCTCAAACTGTCAGAGGAAGAGATGCATAGTACAGTGACTTAGCAATGGAGTTAACTGAAGTCGGTCATGCATACACTGAAAAGATATGTAGGGTAAAAGATTAGGTGGTACAAAAATTAATTAGCAGTACAGAAATACATGGATTTCACTTGATCTGTTTAAAATATTTAATGAGTTATGCATTTATTTATTGTGGATTGGAGTAAAGAGAAATCTAATAAGAGCTAGTTTGGCCAGTGCAAGTTTGAAGGCCACAAAGGCTTTTGGGACAATGTTCTAATTTTGGTCTATGGCAGAAAATATTCACTAAGGCGTGTCACAGCTTCTGCAATAGAGATTTTCACAAAACATAGTGCATAACTATATATCTACGTAACTATATATCTTCCACTACTTGGCAGAGTGAAAACCTCTTGTTCAGATGTGCTTTATTCAATATAATAAGAGCTTTTAAACTTTTCACAGCTGATTGGCCGGGGGCGATATGGAGCAGTATATAAAGGCTCCCTTGATGAGCGTCCAGTGGCTGTAAAAGTATTTTCCTTTGCCAACCGTCAGAACTTTATCAATGAGAGGAACATTTACAGAATCCCACTGATGGAACATGACAACATTGCCCGCTTCATTGTGGGAGATGAGCGATTCACTGCAGACGGACGTATGGAATATTTATTGGTGATGGAATATTATCCCAACGTAAGTACTTCACATGGAAGAATTTGGTTTGTTTTGGAGCTGAACAAGAGTAAAAGAAAGAGAATGAGCATTAATATGTACCAGTATGCTCCAGTATTTCTTCTTGCATAAATAACTCACCTAGCCTGGACTAATGAAAAAATAAAGAAATTAAGAATTTTCATAAGCTGCAGTGCAGTCTTCTGTAATACTATAAAGATTTTCCACGTTCTTGGAAAAAATACTGGGCTGTCAGTTAAGATGCAGATGTTTTTATAAACTGTGGCATGTGCAAAGATAGACGATTGAATGGTTTGAGTCTTTCTGACTGAAATTTATTCAATTCAAAAGTACTGCGTATTGAGCATTAAGAGATGTTGAAACATCATATCTGTATTATGATGTAGTTCTGAGGTTATTAGGTTTGCAGTGTGTAACTAGTCTTTCACTCAAGCTAAATAAATTTGAAATAATTTTTGTCAGATAAGGTCATGGTACTATAAATCGTATTCCTCTTTTAGGAAGGTAAAATTAACATCCTCACTTAAACTTTCTATATTTTAACCTGGTTTATCTTCCACTAATCACAGGTCATGTATAGAACAGGGTTCAACAACCTTGTGAGGAACAGTGGGCTGAATTATGGAGCTAGGTCCAACACGGGCCACTGCTGCTCCCCCACTCCCTTCCCCTGTGCCTGCCACATTGTCAACCTGCTACCAAATTGCTGCAGATATCCCTGGGCACCGGTTTGCTGCCATTGTCCCAGCTTTGCAGGCTAGGTGGAATTATTGGGCTGAATCTGGCAGAAGGGCCATAGGTTGCCAGCCCCTAATAGAGAAAATACATGAAGGAAGGTAGCATAACCACAAGGTCAAAAAAAGGGTTGAGAAATAGATAAAATATACCTTCCTTATATTAACAACTAAGGACTAACATGGTTGCTTTGTGTGGACATGGCAGATTCCATGTAACATTTTTGTTTTAAAACAAAATAAAAACAATATGGGCATGGAGGGAGTGATGTCAAGATGCTTCTATATCCTTCACAAATATGTTTCCTCCTCCTAGTGTGGTGTAATAAGCTGCAATGCAGAGCTGGCTGCTTTTTATTGCTGAGTGTACAGCTATGTATGTGCAGTGTTAAAATGTATATAAAACATTTGTATAGAAATAATTATGATAAATAATAAAATTAGTGTTTCTATGTATAGCTATACCAGCATGTGTATATATAAATGTACAAATTCCAACTATTTCTTTATATCTATCTTGTTGGTTTTACAATAGAAAATAGGTTAGAATGGTTGATGATTTGGTTACACAAGCCTAAATCTCATTTATAAAATTTATTTGAACTTCAGATCCCATAATCAATGTCCATAAGGGAAAAGGACAACATTTGAGTTGTGGGGGAGAAGTGGGTGGGAAGCATGTGTGTTCAAATATTAATAGAATATCCCAGGGAAATCTACTAATGATAAATAACGACAAGAATTATAACCCCCTGCTGAAATACTCAGGGTATGCTTAAGGTTAAAATGAAAAGTATATCTAATATATTTAAAAATTCAAACAATAGTGGCAGAATTTATAAAACAGTTGGGATTCTAGGTGCCAGTGATCAAAACTGAACACTGTGAAGAGGATCCTAACTATCAGCAATTAAAATGGAAAAACACCACTGAAAAAACAGTGTCAGCTATAAGCAGGTGGATCGCTATGGAGAGAGGTCCAAAAAGTAAGAACCCCTATGGAAAAAGGTCAATCACATGCAGACCTTAGCTTCCTATACACATGTTTGGGGTTGAGGGTGGGGGCATTTTAATTAGTGCAGTTCCCAGAGAGCTGCTCTAATTAAAATGCCTCATAATCATGTGTACTAAGCCCCTGCAGGTTTAAAAATGGCTGTAGGACACTTTATCTAAACTTCATTTGACAAGGTTTAGATAAAGTGCCCCAGTGACCAGCTTTAAACCCACGGGAGCTCATATACGTGACAGTGAGGCCGTGCTGGAGCCGTCTACTTAGAACACGGAGCACACTTGATTAACCAGCACGGGTATAGGCACCCTTCATGTAAAGAAGTGGAACATCTAGACCCTATGTCTACAAGGAGAAGAGA